AATAAGGCATCCATTATTTTTAGCCTTCTTTTTACATGTAGACGATGCTATTATATTTGTATTATCAACAAGTATGTTACGAATATGGTTGATAATACATATATATATATATATATGTGTGTGTGTGTGTGCATGTTTCGTTAAAAACGACAGACAAGGTACTACGATTAAGCTTTTTATTTAATTGTTCTTACGTTCGAATAAGTGTTTTCGTTTTGGGACACAGAGTGTGTAGAAACTGTCCAAATTTTCAAATCATCAAAGCCAGCAAAATAACCTAACTAATTTTTTATACAGATTTCTTTTTTATTTCAGGACATATACAACTGTGGTGCTCAACAACTTGCAGCAACTATCAAAATAAATATATATATATATATATATATATATATATATATATATATATATATATATATATGTATGGTTGCCACAAATAGAAACAGGCCAAGAACGAACTACTGATTGGAGACGTCAAAATAAAAGAATACTTTTTACAGTAATCTTCAAGCTGTACAAGGCCCAAGAGCCATTCGAGATAGAGGATTACAGAATAAGAGGCACAGCTTATGGGAATATGTAGTAAAGATAACTGTTAGCCCTAGACTTGATTGTAGTGATCGGAGAAACATCATCTTGGGAGTCAGTTCTATAAAGCAACTGTCTGTGGGAACCTACTCGAGTGGAATTTATAGCTCATCCACGGAATACGAAAGGAATGGCGAGTTCTAGCAGTGAGGATTAGAACTATTGGAACTATCTTCCTTCAAATGTAAAAAATAGGAACTAGAAATTTTATTTTGATTACTACCTGTGGAATTCTGGTTAGTATTACTAATAAAAAAAAAATCAGAGATTTTCCTTAGTGGATGATCTCGGAATAAAAAAAAGTAACTTTACTGAGATCTATTATTCTCTTAACTGAATTAAAAGAACTGCTCAGAAAGAAAATTACAATTTTAAAAATAAGTGCCATTTGGACACCACGCCGTATTAACGTAAATATTATTTATAATCTTCTGTAAATTCGCCCATCGTTAAACCGGCCTTGTGCCACATGATGCCCTCGTGGAGGGTGACTAAATATCGTTGGACAGCACAACAGCCAGGATCCAAAAAACTCATTGGAACACAACTTTCTATCTCCATAGACAACTTGCTAAAGGCCGTTGCCGCAGTAAGTCACAACTCACCCTCCCTCTCCTACCGTACGCCTTTGCGAACGACTTTTACAATTCCAATTATCTCTTTCTTTCAACAAGAGACATTTACACCAATTTACCATTTGTTGTATTTTACGTTAATACGGCGTGGTGTCCAAATGGCACTTATTTTTAAAATTGTAATTTTCTTTCTGAACAGTTCTTTTAATTCAGTTAAGAGAATAATAGATCTCAGTAAAGTTACTTTTTTTTATTCCGAGATCATCCACTAAGGAAAATCTCTGATTTTTTTTAATAGTAATACTAACCAGAATTCCACAGATAGTAATCAAAATAAAATTTCTAGTTCTTATTTTTTACATTTGAAGAAAGTTAAAACCGAAAAAATGATCGCTTAAAAACAGATGACAGAAAATGTGACACCGAAATCCGAAGGCGCATTAGAAAAGCAAAAGATGCCATCGAAAAGCTAAGCAAAGAGACAGGAAAATATTGTTCTTTCTGGGTGAAACTTAGGACTTTTAGAACAACCCTGGTAGGCTTGCAACTTTGCATCTGTAGGAAAAGAGGCTGCAGAATGGAACGTGTCATCTATCCTACAAAGACAAGACTGAGCAATTTTGTCCCGTCGTAGGACTGGGGTTACCGATTTAAACTTGGCCTTGTGCCATATTCCGTTCAAGATGGCGTCTGGATAAATCCAACCTCACATAATGTTCACTAACACCATCGTAGGTCCAGTTCGTGTGTTTATCTTATTCCGGCAAATGATACTACCTTTGAGCAAACAGGGGCGGATGAAATAAATCAAGCTCCGGTTACTCTGCGTATCCCCCTATAAGATGTGGGTGTCGCAGATCTGCCACTCTGTATCAGCAAACGCGAGAGCCAGACGCTTATTGTTGACACACACACACACACAGATATATATATATATATATATATATATATATATATATATATATTTCTATAGCATGAAACAGACTGACGCCTCTAAGTGTTGACTTCTATGTTCACTTTTATATTTACACACGCTCTATCTCTGATATCGAGCACTTTATCCCATAAATATAGCACACCTTAAGACTATATTTCTTCATATATATATATATATATATATATATATATATAACGCAAGAGCCAGACGCTTATTGTTGACATATATATATATATATATATATATATAATGGGTTTGTGAAAGAACAGCCATCATCCATCGGTCTGCCACTGTGTTGAACTCCACCTAGAGCCTTCCAGTACTATCCTTTACCTGACCCCGTCGCCTTCACTCTCTCGCCAGTGGACCTTGCAAGTGAACTGTGTGGATAAGAACGAGTCAAGGTAAACCGCCAGAAAACCCACCCAAGTGATTTGATTCAAGTGGTGAAGGCTTGTGCAGAACCATCCACACTTTTCGGGACTATTGATACACTCAGTCGGTGCAAATAAATGCCACAGACGAAGCAGACAATATACCTCAGGCTTTTCGTGTAAGAGTTTTCCATCTCCTAGACCAATTGTGTTCTATAACACTAAAGAGCTTGGTCAGCGAGAGCAAGAACTAAAAGGTCAGCCAATCTAACAGTGATCTCATCTCACAATCCTCACACTTGCTCCATATGTGACCTCATTTGTAAACCACTAGTGGGTCTTAAATGCCACTTACGCTTATTGCACAAACTTTCATAACTGAATCAATTGGTTAAGTTGTCAGATCCTCATACGTCAAAACCGACGGGACAGTCCATTATATATATATATATATATATACATATAATGGCATATATATATATATATATATATATATATATATATATATACTCAACTCTCCCGTCGAATTCGATGTATGAGGGTCAAGCAGATCAATTCCTAGGAAACTGACAGCCCGACACCAGCACATGGTGTAGTGAAGGTTTTGTGCAGAACCATCCACACTTTTTTAATGGCCGAATACAGAGACTACCTGCCACAGGGACCCCAAACGACCCTCCACAGGTTTTAAATTCAGAGTTGTCCTTCTCATAGACCAGTTACCATCCAAGGCTATAGAACCTAGTCTGTCCTGCTATTTACCCATAGCTGGAGGGAGAAGAGAATGATTAATACCTTTCCCAAGGGTATAGCACGTAAGTGAATGTAATGGATCCAACTGTAATTCGAACTCGGTTCTTCGATTCCTCAATCCAAGCCGCTATCCACTACTCCACCACCGTGCCTCCTTATATATATATAAACGCAAGAGCCAGACGCTTATTGTTGACATCAATGTACACTTTTATATTTACACACGCTCATACACCATAAAATTATATTTTTACTCACTTTCGTTTATTAGATATTGAATTGTGTCACTTCGCGTCCTCCATAGCCTGACTTTTTAGTCTAACCTGATGAATATTTATGAACAGTTTTAAATGTATAAATTTTGAAAAACCAATAACATTTTTGGTCTTGCATATAAATACTTGTTACTCAATGAAATCCTTGTATTTACCTTGATAAAATCCATCGGAGGACGAAACGCGTCGGCTGAGATAAGTTTTCCTTTTGTCTTTACGCACACACACACACACACACACACACACACACACACACACACTATTATTAGTGTTCTTAGCAACAGAAATAGAACAGGAAAACAATACCAGTTGATGGCTCAAAGATTGTGAGGGCTGTGACGGAAACAAGCAAAACAACAGTGACATCACCAACAACCTCCACATTGGAGGGGTAAAGGTTTCACAATCCATCGTTCAAAGAAGACTTTGAGAGCAGAAATATAGAGGCCGTACTACAAGATGCAAACCACTGATCATCAGTAAGAATGGGCAGGCCAGATTGGAATTTGCAAGGAAAGTGCAAGAAAAGAGACCGTCAGAGATAGATAGATAGATAGATAGATAGATAGATAGATAGATAGGACAGATTGAAGACAAAAGGGACTGACGAAAACAACGCATAATATACTTTATGAGCTTAAGTAAATGGATGGCAGAACAGGGTTTAGGAGAAATAACAAAAAGACAAAGTTTATTAATAGCTACACGTGATACACACACACACACACACACACACACACACACACACACATATATATATATATATATATATAGGGTAACCCAAAAAAACGGGAATTTGTGAAGTGCGTATTGCCAGACATGAGCAAGTGGCAACATTGCGAGACAGTGACCTTGAGCAAGTAAACATTTCGCCATTTAGAATTCAAGATGAAATTCACAGTATCTCAGCTGAGATGTTGCAGCAGTCAATGAGGAATCTCAACAGCAGATTTCAATAATGCATTCGTACAGAAGGACGCCAACTACAGGACGTAATTTTTAAAAAATGAAAATTCCATCATTGTTTCTTAAATGGCATGTTTTAAGGTTTCAATTACTATGAATAATATATTTTTCTTCCATCACTCTTGGTTTAATGGGATTGTTAAAATGTTACCATTTTTTGAGGTCACCCTATATATATATATATATATATATACTTTATTTTAGTATATTACATTGAAAACTTTTCAAAATCGCTACACAATTGCAGTCGAGTTTCGATGCGCATACCACGCATCTCATCAAGCGATTGTAAATTACTGGCGAGTGAACGATATATATATATATATATATATATATATATATATATATATATATATATATATATATATATATATATATATATATGAAAAAGAGGAGAGGGTAAAATTATCTATCAATCGAATTCTGTTCATATCTATCTATAATAAGTAAATCATGTCATTTTTTTTTTATCTCTACCCAATCACATATAACATACATTTTGGTGTTCATCGATTTTTTTATGGGGAATTGCAAGTATGATACTGATTACTGAAATATCTATCTATCTATCTATCTATCTATCTATCTATCTATCTATCTATCTATCTATCTAAGACTTCATGTCTATCTATATGATAAAACATATTAGTTATAAGGTAAACTATATTTATGGGTAAAAATACTAAATATCAGAGATAGAGCATCTGAAAATACAAAATGTATGCACTGAGGTCAACATCAAACGACTACAATCTCGGTTTCCGGCTTCAACGCACGCACACACAGACACATACATATATATATATATATATATATATATATATATATATATATATATATATATATATATATATATATATGAAAGAGAGTGAGTGAAAAGGAGGGTAAAAATTAAATTAATGCTGGATTACGAGAGCAAAAAAGATCTGCATGGAGTTTTGTGTTGTTCTTGTCCCAATGAAAGAGGCTCATGTTTAAAACGTTAGCGTTTTTTTTGTGTTTTTTTTTTTTCTTTCTCTCTCTCTCTCTCTCTCTCTCTCTCTCTCTCTCTCTCTCTCTCCGAGTAAATTGCGAATGAAATGCTGTTACATTTCGCGGGAGGTCGTACAAGAATGTTCCAAACGAAATCTGGGTGGGTTATTTAAGAGGAGGGGATGTTGAAGAGGGAGTGTCAAGGATGTGGTATGTTAAATAAAATATGATAGATAGATAGATAGATAGATAGATAGATAGATAGATAGATAGATAGATATTAATAGACAGAGATAGATATGAATAGTCTGATCGATATATATATATATATATATATATATATATAGAGAGAGAGAGAGAGAGAGAGATAGATAGATATGAATAGACTGAGATAGTGATACATAGAATGAGATAGATAGATAGATAGATAGATCGAAATGAAAAAAAAAATATATATATATATATATATATATATATATATATATATATATATATATATACAAGTGTATATACATGCATAGATGGAATGAGATAGATAGATAGATACATAAATAGATATGGAAAAATAAAATACATACATATATACAAGTGTATATACATGTATACATAGAATTAGATAGATAGATAGATAGATAGATAGATAGATAGATAGATCAGACGAAATCCAGGTAACAAATAAAAAATTAAAATTATCCTTGCTGTCTGGTAATTCGGCAGAAAGTCTTTACCTTATCTCAAAAGATTTCTCAGTCACCTGCACATCTCCTCCTCCACCCAAACCAGGAAAGCCAGGATCAATGTTTATATTTCTGTATGCAGGTGCAATAAATCAGGGGCCCCCACAATGTCACCGCTCCACCCGACGAGTAAGAACGTGAAAAGATGTAAGTAAACAACGCCGAAACGTAACTTTTGAAAGACGGACAGCTAAACCATCAAATAACGACCCGAGAGCCTCCCAAAGATAAGAAAAGTTTCTTGAAGACTAACGTTAATTAACACAAGAAATAAGAGAAGATTAAATTAATTGCAAAGAACACGCATGGAGTTAATTGTCGCCTGATAAGATTAATATTTTACAAGTATACTTCCGTACAACGTTCCCATCTTTTGATTTTTGACTACGTTTCAATAATACTGGTTGATTGAACTCAGTACTATATTTGAAAAGGTGTGTTAGCACTTAAGGCTTCACTGTGGGGTATTGGCCATAGCCACACCCAGGTAGATGTTACTGCTGTGATTACCGTAGCGAGTACGTCATTATGGGGTGGAGATACTAGTCCTACGCCCACCCGGTTTTGAATTGAGCACAGTCAACATTATCTTTTAAAAAAAATACCAAATAAGTGTTATTGGTCCTGACCTGGCATCTCTTCAGTCCCTTCCCACCACCGTAAGTGGCTTCCCTGTGCCTTTTCTATAAATACTTTCATGGTAATTGTTCGGATGAGATCTTCGCTAATAGTTTTGTTCATTTTTGTAAATGAACATTTGGATTTAAATTTTTAAATTGTTGTTATATTCCCCTCCATCGACAGACAAGAATTTTACATATGAGGACTAGTTAGGACTTCGTAGAGACATTGCGGTATTACGGTGACTGTAGTAAGATTAATAAGTAAGAAAGTGTTGTTTGGGTGTAAGGAATTTTGTCGCATGTTTAGGTCAGTGTTTGTGGCTAGCTAAGTTTAATTATAAAACAGAAGACCATCCTTTTTCCTCCATTTCCTCATTTTGGCCTTGTTACATTTTGTATTTTTATACAATTAAATATCGCTCTTCGTTATGGTATCTAAACTTTATGAATTTAAGCAAAGTACAAGAATGGCGACGACATCTTATCAATCTAGATGTATCCATAAGTTCCATAATAACATTTTCTTTTCTTGCAATTCCCTCTTGTGGAACTCTCTTCCGGCTTCATGTTTTCCAGTTAACTTTGACCATCAAAAATTTAAATGCAATATCAATCGTTATCTATTGCTTTCTTGACTACTCTTCTGTTGTTCTCGCTAATTAATAATGTTTTGTTTTCTAAACCTTGTTTTAGTGGCTTTACTGCCTTGCTTGGGGTGAATTGGTTTCTTTCTAAAAAGTAATAACTAGTTGAATCCGTAGAAATTCCACGGTTTTGAAAACTAAAATTATTCATTGTCTCCCTTATTCTCGCTGCCCATCCCACTTATTATCTAAAACTCATACATATATTACTTTCATAAACTAAAAAGAATAAGGAATGCGCAAATATTTTCTGCTGAATTTTCTCTATTGTCTCGTCATAAACAATTTTAATGCACGACACTTTCTCGATTATCCGTACTTTGATTTTCGAAATTTCAATTATCCAAAATGAATCCATTCAAATATTTAATCTAAGACAAGCGTTCTAAGAATTTAGAAAACCAAGCTCAAAGTTTGATAAAATTGCTGATGAAAGCAGTTCAATTTATTCTTGGTAATTTCCTCCTTTGTTTGCATACAAAGACCGTACATTTGAATTATTCCACTTTGGTAATGCCAGAGATCATGGCTTCTGTAACTCTTGGATACGCATGATACCCGTAAACCATACTTCAGTGTGCCGTGTCCTTTAAGGACGTTGATAATCATGGCTCTCCATGTCCTTTGTAGCTCTTAATGAATTTTGTCTTTTTAATATCTCTCCTAAACTTTGTTCAGACATCCATTTACTCAAATTCTTTTAATTATCCAAACTGAACCCGTTCTAATATTTGGTCTCAAACAAGCGTTTTTAAGAATTTAGAAAACCATACTTACGGTTTGATAAAAACGTTGATAAAATCAGTTTTAATTGAACTGATTTTTGTTAATTTATTCGTTGTTTTTATACAAAGAATATAAAGTTTGATCACGCCAGAGATTATGGCTTCAGGCAACTCTCAGAAATAAATGATTGCTTTAATGTAGACAGGCTTGTGTATGGACCCTTAAGTGGCCAGGATATCTTTTTAATTTATAACCGCACCAGAAAATGTTGAAGAGGAGAAAGATGATAATGGCATTGCCCATGTTGAAATTCAACAGCCCCCACCCAGGCCCAATTTCAAACACCGAAACAATGATTATGTTTAACAAATGTTTAAGTTGGTTGCGCTTTCAACCAAAAGCCACTCTTACAAATACATCTACTTTAATCCAGTTTCACGGGTCAGAGACATAAAAATGCGAGGTCAACCGGAAACAGACAAAAATTTTTCATAAAAAATAAACTGGACAAAACCTTGAAGAAAATATTTGAAAATTTAATTTGATGTTATAAATAATAAGTTTTATGGAGTATTCCCTCACACCATAGTAATGGGAATTTTAGACTTAGTTTACAAAGATAAAAACAGGAAAATAAACGTACACAATAACAGGAAAAGCGTGGTAAAATTGTATGCTAATTTCATACAATTTTATTTATGTATTTGTGTATATAGGTGTGTGTATCTTTTTTACGTTACAATAGTGTTATGGTACATGTGATAAAATGGATCAATTGACTCCATAGTATTACAAGCCATATCACAGAGAGAAGTTGGACACGTGTTGCCTGTAGCAAGGTTCGTGGTGAATATATTGAATTTAACGTCTTTTGGCAGGATGTCCGTATTTCTGGCAGGAACAGTTTTTGTTGCATGCTAGAAGTATTTTTATTAATTTTTAATCTTTATTTAATTTATTGTAATCAAGGTTTAAATGTTATTGCTTTATTTTATTTATAATTTTATTTATTTATTTATTTATTATTATTATTATTATTTATTTCATTTTTATTTATTTATCATAATAATGATATCCCTAAAGTTTCTTTAAGAAAGTGATTTTTTTTTTTCATTCATTATTTGATATTTATTCAAAATTTTGAATGATAAAAACATTTATTTTCAGTCCCTGTTCCTAGATGTATCTGGATAATCGAGGAAGTAATGGCGGGGTCGTTTCTGGGGAGAATTTGTATAGTTTGCTTTGGTTTGTTTTGTTTTACGGCATATCAACCCCAATGGGTTATTTGATGCCGAAAATTTTTTTTATTGCTGGTAATATTTTGTTTCAAAAGTATATTGAATTTTCTTGCTTTTGTTTATTAGAGTAAAATTTATTCTTACAATTAAATTTTAATATTTACGTATTGCTGGTAATATCTTTTTCTTCAAAAATTTATTGCTGGTAATAATTTTTTGCAAAGTATTTCTGGTATTAAAACCTATTTTTACACTTTCATGGTGTTTTTACCCCAGTTTTGGGGTTAACTATTTGCCCATAGCTGGGGCCCTAACAGGTGGACCTGGGAACACCAGCAATTAAGAGGTGGATCCACGCTCCTCAAAACCTCCAGGTCAGAGGCCTTGCTGTTGGACGTAGTTTAACGTCATACCCGGGATGCGGATGTAGTTTATCGTCATTCCCAAGACGGAGAATTTGTATAGAAGAGAAAGTGCTAATAATAATTTAAGGAAATCATTTTTTTTTTATTAAATTTTATTTAATTCTATTCCAATTTATTTTACCTTAGTTTCAGTTTAAGTAATTCTTTTTAAGTTTCTCGCTGCTTTCTTACAAAGAACATACATTTGAATCATTACAGTTTGGTCACACCAGAAATTATGGCTTACGTAACTCTCAGATGAGCATC